TATAATAACTTATCCATGCCTGTACAATTGGTATGTTCCTACATAAACAGGAATAAGTATATATGATTATTTAATTACATCTTCCTCAGCCACCGGAATATTCTGGTAAGTGCTAACCGACTTAATTTGAGTGAATGTATTGTCGGACCTCGAAGACTATCAGTAAAGTCTTGAAAGTGTGGAAGTGGCTACCTCTCTGGGACAGTTTGCTTGTTTAGTGCTCTGTGATCACCACCACGGCACCAACCAATCTGAATGACCCATGTGAACGAATTCGGCGTCACTATTTTTGACTTCTGTGTGGTCATTCTTCTTGGCCTAGCGAACACTTGGAGTTGTGAATATGGGTAATTTCTGAGCCATTCTCAGAGGTTTGAGGATTGGTTTCCGCAAGAGTTGGGAATTCTGGAAGTATTTTCCGAATTCTTTCTGCTGATAAAGACGTAGACTGGGAGAGGTTCAACGAATGATGCTTGCTCACTTAACAATTCGTAAGTCAGGAGGTTCGTTTCATTGTTAAACGTCTCTTTCGAGTATCGATTAGTGAGTCATATCTTTCTAGAAGGCCTATGCTGATGATTCCTAGGGCTAAATCAGCAGCAGTGGACACCCATAGCTGCTTTTGCTTAAACCCAAAGTAAGTCATAAGTGTCTTCTATTCGAATGTTGCCAAATGGGTTTCATTGGCGGCCTGCAGCGTAAAAGTAGATTTTTGTGTTAGTTGTTCATTGGTAATCTAACATTGGACACTAGTCCTGAAATTACTGGGTCTTCGCTCATGCTCATACGGTTCACTAACCCTTCTGTAACTCGTCTCCCCTCCAACGTCCAATCAGCGATGAGTGCCAACAGTTCAAGAGGAGAGTTAGGATGTTATCACCTAGTGCTTCTTGCGCATACTCCGGGAGGGGCTTGCATCCGACCTTGCTTTAGTACAGCCTCTCGTACCGTGCTGTCCCCCGCAAGCTGCTGGGGGGGAGCCAGAACTGTGACAGGGATCTTTCTTCCATTTCCTCCCTCGAAGCAGCCGTTGTGTACTATGGCTTCTTGACACAGTGAGGCGTTTTTTCATCTCTCACTTAAATACTGTGCATGGACGCTCATAAGAAAAGTGAGGTTTAAGGCGCGGAACCTCCTTGTTATTCTCATCAGATGACTGAGAACACACGTTCTCATAGTTGATGGTTTCAGACTTAACGCTGTACCTGTGAAAGTAGTGTTCTAGTTGAATGATCCGTAGTTTACGGTCATGTCGACCAGACCTGGGTAATCTAACTTTGGTAGTACAAAAGAACTCATAGCAGAGCGTACTGTAGATGCCCTACGAAGGTACTAATATAGCAAGCACTGTTGTCAGTACTTCTATGAAATATTACAGGTTCCTTAAGTCAAGCTGTGCCAGGATGACCGGACGCGGTTGGATTTGGTATGGAAATCTATTTCGCCCAAGCAGTCCTCCAACCATGGAAGTATCAGGTTACCAATACGCATCTGACCTATTTTGTGGAGGAGATGGTCGTGCTGAATGGTACCAAACGCCTTTTCCAAGTCGCGGTAAGCCACATGGACTGGAACGTTGATATCCCAGCATGATTTCAGTCATTATGTGCCAACAATAGAATTGTTGTACGGGATCTACCTCTCCAGAAACCATTCCATGCTTCATTGAGTGTTTGTTCCTATTAAGCTGCTGCCGGACATGATCATCAACCAGATCATCAATACTATCGAAAGTAGTGCTGCTGGTCGATAACTCATTGCTTTTTGCCGGCCTGCACCATTGAAGAAAGGAGAAGCGAGGGTTGTCTTCCACTCACTAACTCAGAGAATGAAGTAAACGTTGGAGTTTTCCAACAGAGTTGAGTCTTCACAATCATATCAAGTTAAGTCTTTCCATAAGACCCCGAAAACAATGTACCGATAATACCTCAAGTGCCCATTCTGCTTGTCGAAAACGTGAAGATCTGGGCAACAAGTAAAGTGTCACACCAAAAGCGACCCAGAATTTGTATACTTCAGATAAATAAAAAATTTAATTCTATGATCGGAAGAATGTACACGCCAAGTGAACGAAATATTATAACCAATATGCTAATAACTATCAAATAATAATAATTTATATTTCGTATAAACGGGTAAGTTTACAAGAAATGCATGCCATTTTTACAGGCACGATCAGTAATGTTATTAATTACAATCCCGAAATATCATAAATTAATACTTTTTCAAAAGTTTCAATTTTTCAGTTATTGTACAAGCAGTCAGGACAGGTTCTTATAAATGTTAAATTGTAAACCGTTTACTAAGGTCACCATCAAAGTTGAGCGATAACCCAAACGTCTTTCCGTTTCCTGCTGATAGTTATGGTCAACCAGTGAACAGCGTATATCTGTGTGAGTGCTATGCCGCCACGCGACTGAACGCTATTTCAGGAAGAGGAGAAGATTCTTCGCAGCTGCAAAATGGTATAAAATGCAATTATGAATACCACATTATGGGAAGTATATTTACAAGACAAATACAAGAAGAAGAAGCTATATAGTACTTGAAATGATAGTACACATTTGAAATGTATGATGCTAACCATATTGGTCTAAGCATAGAAAACATGCTGTTTTCGATGAAGATATAGCCTTGTTCAAACATTGGTGTTGTTGTGTTTTTAGTCAGAGCAACCAGACTTTGGGCGAGCAACAAATATGAACAAAGAGCGTGCTTTAGCTTTAATAAAGGCCCAGGTAGTTAACATAAAGTAGAGTATAATAGTGCGTAAACAAAAATATTATTTTGATGTAGGTAAGTGATATTTAAGTGAGGAATAAATTCACTGGTCTGGAAAATTAGAAGCCATAGAACAGGCTGACCTGCAAGATGGCTCACGAATTTCCGTGGGGCCCAACGGGTAGCATCTTGACAATAAGCTGAACAGGCTTGTAGATGGTAGGAGCAAAAGCACCTTTTTTATTTATAATTTAGATCTATACAACCCTTATTATTTTATTTGTTTTTGTTGAGGGTACAGACTAATGTTTAATTCTAGAGCTGCCAAAAAATGAATGTTGCTGTCTATCAGAAACTGACATTGTGTATAGACAAAACGTTTAGAAGGTACGCAGTTAACTCACTGTTAGGAAACGAATTTCTTCTGATTTTTCTTTTGATCTGAGTGGGAATTTGAAGTTTGCTAAGACGACCTACCATATACCACTAAACAAATAAAGGGCCGATTTCCAGGTTTTGGCGAAAGGCATATCTTAACATACCTCAGATCCTTGAATCTATCATGCAAACTATGTCTTGATGGTGTGCCATACGTTTTACATTAAGAAATGTCATCTCTTTACGCTAGTCTTCGGTGCACCTTTTTTAGAGGTACAGTGCCTATTGTTTGAAAGAAAACAGTTATTGTATCAGTAGCGAAATTCTCATCATATGGATCAGAGCTAAGGCTTAGACCAAACCTCAAAAACTCTCTGTTCTAGAAGACTATGGGAAAGATTATCCTAATTGCTCCTAAGCCAATCGGACCTTTCAGTGAACCATGACACAATTTCCTTTTAAATGCGGCAAAAGTATTTAAGATGCTGCTAGTGTGTTGCACCACAATAAAGCTACCAGTATAGACACATGTATGAGTACTAACAAACCGAAATCCAAGAGAAATGAGACTTAGTACTTGTAGGAAACAGGGCGATCTATCCTTCTCCTCCAATAAGAATTCCTGCACACATGTGCGTCCGGGGTTCGATCCACTGCCGACTCACACCCGATATCTATGGTCGGCCTGCAAAATTTGGGCTACCGATGTCCATGCTGAAAATTCCACACACGTACTGAAAATACGGTGTGGCATCAAGCTGTAATCAAAAATAAAATATAAAATAAACATTCTATGCAGCGGCGATAAGAATAGCTTTCCGCGATCATCCACTGGCTTGCAGGGTACTGGAAAACAAGATAGCACCCCAGTCAATCCTTCCAGATTGCATTAGCTCATCCGCTTCAGATCCCTAAGTTTTGTATTCGTTTACATTCCCATTGGAACAAGGGACCTCAAGCTAGAGGAGTGAAGTTTTGCAGCAGTTTTTATTTTTACGGGGTGAGGTTGCTAGCCTCATGGCTAACCTTCTTTCTTTACCAGTCTTGTTACCGGCTTAGCGAAGTACAAAGGAAAATTTCCCAATTACTTTTACTACCATTTCAACGACCCTCTTACTTTTAAACAAGTAATCTAAAATCTTCCTAGTTTTCCTGTCCTTTCTAAATCTTTCATACTGTCATATATTTTTGTCTGTCTGTGACCTAGTCACGACTTTCTCAGTTGTATATCTCATTTCACAACTCTATCACACTGACCAATGTTACCAAACCTACTTACGACAGTTAATCTCTTTTATTCATATCTTCTTTCGTGAAGAAAATTCAGCAGAAATGCAGTTACTCGTCTGAGGAAAATGAAATCCCAGAAACGATCTTCTTTGCTGAACTTCTTGTTTTGTTCACCCTGACTCTTGAATGGGACTTACGTGTGCACTCCACTATTGTTTATGCAGAACAAAGCTGTTTTGACTTGTCCGGGACACTTTACAGTGTATGCAATAGCCTGCTGAAACCTAACTAGCACATAACGCGTTACATTTTTGTGGGTGTATAGCCTGAATGACCATCAAAAGTCCATGGAGCAACTAACTGTTTTCCAGATGATAGAGAGAATATACGGAAATTACTTAGTTTAAACTGATTTGTCTCACATATACAATAAACTCTACATCTTGGTGCATGAATTTGATAGGCTAATATCTTGGTCACTACATGACCTTAGTTGAAGGATTAGCGGGACAAACGAGTCTGATGGTTAGGCTGTTGGTTTTGCAGAAGTATGCATAGACCACATAGCCATCTCGGTGATTCATCGTATGTTCGCCTAGCCCGATCACTGACAGCATGTAATAATTTTGACACAGTATGCACTCGTAATTACTTATGCTTATTATTTGAAGGTCAAGCGTCTTATTGAGTTTTTTCCTTTATCTGAACCAAATGGAGGCTATCGACTTGACAGTCAAGCTCAGTGCTCTATAATCAGCGTTGGAATATTTTTAGTGGAATCTAATCTGAAGGTATGTGCAAGCTTCAGAATGACCTGCACCATAGTTTGTTGACAGGTTACTTCCTTATTTACTTAATGTCCTGCGAAAATTACACAAAAGTCATCTGACGGATAATATTGTTTGTTCTAACTTTCAAAGTACGGTTCATGTTTGAGAGTCTGATTTCTTTTAGAACTTCCACAGGCTGAATGTTTCAGTTTTGCCTTATCTAGTCTATTGAGTCAAATTGCTCTTTTGGATACAAATCGTTCAGAAGACGTAAGTTTAAATAGATAGTAAATGTATGTCTCTGGTTTTTGACGAATTGACTTAAGTGTAACATATCATTTGCAATGGGTGTTTGGTAGGTTAGTTATATCATGCATCTTGTAATCATATATTTTGTTTGAAAGTATCTAGTTTTGCACACCTAGAGTAAATATTTCTGGGTAACTGTCAAACATTCATGCAGGCAATTCTGTTGGTTAAACAGGTTCTTTTCAATTTCTGGCCCTGAAATTTAGATGCTGCAATAAATACTTGCTACCGGAATTACAGTTACTTAGCTGCACATAATTGCATAATTCTGGCTTTAATTTTGGATTATATCTTTCAGAACATTTATTCGCATTGTTAACAGAACCAGTTATAGCGGTAAAGTAGGCAGATTGTTATGGAACGGGATCTTTTAAATACAGGGTACTCAATTTTTGTTTTATTATTGTTTTTTTGTATGTTTGTAATACACTTGTGCATAATTATGCTTCGTTAAGTTATGTAATACACTCTGGCAGGATTAGAGTTAATAACTATAGTTTCTTTCTTGCTTACTTAGTACGATCCTGACCTTTGTTCCTTCAATAATAGCACAAACGCTCCTTGCTTATCTAATCAGCTCTTATTTTCATGTAACGATCTAGCAGGATAATCATGCCATATGAGTTGTCGCCGAGCTATTCAAATGCCGATTCACAGTGTTAGCCATAGCAAGTTTAATAGGACATAGATTATCGTAAAGAGTTAAAGGTTTCGTGATCAGTGGTTACAGTGATGTCTTTTAGTCCCCATTTTTAACAAGTCAAGTGGACATCTTTAGTATCAACTACGTTGTTTTTGTTGATATCCATGTAGAATCAGATCTTTGGTTATTTATTCCTAACTAGTATTCTTTGTTTAGTGGTTCTTTTCTGCAGTATTTGTCTCTTGTAATTTTTTGGGTTTATTTAGATGACTTATGTTAGATTTATTTGGTTTTAATGACTTTTTACTATAACAATACGTTGCTTTCATTTAATCAGTAGTAATAATAACATAGTGTTTCCTTAAGAATTTTACTTTTTAATACCTTTTACAGATCATCACTAGCATCCTAGATTGTGTTAGTAACATTATTAATCAAATAAATGAGGTGTTACAACAGCCTATCGACCGTTTTGCGGCTGTTTCAGCATTCCTTCGTCAACCGCGAAATCCGAATACTTCACCTGATGCTGTGAAACTTCAAAGTCAACAGCTTGCAGCTGAACGACTATGTACATTCCTTGCTCCTTCTGTAATTGGTCTTCTAAGAGGCGTTGCTCGTGGCGTCGCACATGTTATGCCCTATACTACTAATTACAGTGGGAATGCTTCATTGCCTGTAGTATCCCGTCTGTTTCAATCTTCCCAGCCTACTAAACTGGTAGATAGGGCTAAATTTCAAACTTCGATTGGTGCCTGCCCTCATAAATTAACAGAAGTTAGTTATGAATTCACACTCAGTGTTTACCCGTCCTTTTGCTGCATAATACCTCATTCTCTGTGTCACTCACTACTGACAAACACAGGTGAAAAACACGTAGACAGTGGTTCAGGTAAGAATTTATTTTATGTAAATTTATTCGATTTTCTTAGTTGTGTTATCTTACAAAAGCAGAAAAATATTTGAATCGAAGATAAATTCATACTATAAAATAAATATAAATCCTACTATTCATAGTGTTAGAAACTGGATAATTAACGTGTGCATTCCTACTGTTATTGATATTTTGATCATTATTATTGTTGCTATTATCATTAGCGTTCCGTGTAGGCATTCATAAATTTCGTTACTCTGAATACAAACAGGATAACTGTTGTAGTATCAGTCCTCAATTTGAAGTCACTGACATTAGTCAATACCAAACTATACTTTAATTGTGAATAAGTTTTAGAACCGTAAGCAATTCAAAAGCTTCCTAGATGTACATGAAACATCTCTCTTCCTTTTTGAAAACAATAGAGATTTTTTGTTGTTACTGTTGTTCCATTCATTTCCGAGTGGAACATAGGCCTTCAACAGTCCATCTTTTATTTTCTGCTGTCCTCTTTAGCTAGGTCAACGATTTCCCATAGTCTGTCATCTCCCCTTCGCACGATCTCCTCCATGTCATCCTCGGACGACCCACTCGTCGTTCCTCATTCAGGTTCCACTTGAGGGCATGCATTGAGCGTGATATCTTTCGACGGTTTCCTCAGTGTCTGCCTAATCCATCTCCATTTTCTCCTACATATTTATAGAATGATAGGTTCTTGGTTAGTTTGTTCCCATGGTTTCTTGTTGTTAATTAATTCTGGTCGGCCATGTGATCTTCAGTATGGAGCCAGCGAAGGCAAATATTGCTAAATGACTGTGGGTAGCCTGTTGGAAATGTTTTTCTTGACGCGCAGTGCAAGTTTCTGACCCTTATAAAAGTGCTAACTGACTTCACATTAGTGTTGAAAATCCGAATTTTCTTCTTTATGCTGAGTGCAGAAGAAACAGTAAAGAAACTACCTTTATTTGTATTTTAAAGTTATTAGTGAAATTTCTTGTGATGCTATCATTGCCTTGCATCATAATATTATTTCCACATTAAGGTTTTAGTTGTGTTTGGCGAGACTCACTCCTCAGACCACTTTTAGCAAATAAACATGCTGGAATACATCCTTGTCTTCGCGAAGTTGGCTAACTTTATTCTTACTTTTCATGAGACCTTATGCTTGTATGGCTATACATTTCAGTCACATATTACTTAGTGTGCACCTTTTGTGAGAAAAAAGAAATGCATATGGATTTCGAAATCTGTTAATTTAACAAAGATCAATTTTCAGACACTTCGAAAAAAGATATTTTCTGCTCAGTTTGTAAATAAACAGCTGTCTCATTCTTTGTATCATCCATATATTATTGTCTATATTATTTTCATTGTTTTGCTTGACAACTAATGTTTGCCATAAAGTCTTTCACTGTTGCGTGAGCCACATTGAAAGGTATAGAATGCCTGACTGGAATCCTCACGACGTCGAGAACCAATGACTTCAGACTGTTGGTAATGTGACTCAAACTTGTCGTCTGTTTCGGAGATACATTCACCCATATGATCTTCTAGGTTGTCATTATTCTCCATATAATTAGTTTTATATGGTCTCTTTGCATTTCTGTTTTCTCAATGTTTATATGCGTTCTTATAAAGTGTGTGTGTATCAAGTTGAACTGCTGCGCCTATTTTGTGTAAAAGTACTACTCTGACAATTTAGTTGCGCTCAGAATATCTTTTTATTCCTTTACGTTCCAAGTGAAACATGGGGCTTCAACCTAGAGTTTTGAGGTTTCTGTAGCAGTGGTGTTTATTCTTTTAACGGGATGGGGTTGCTAGCCTCATGCCCAACCTCCCCTATTTACCAGTCTTATTAGTGACTTAATGGGGCAAAGGAGTACATCAGTCGGGGATCGAACCCTGGACCACATGCCTTTGTCGGTGAGCATTCTACCGCCTTGTCACCGACGCACACTTAAGAATATTAGTAGCAGGTAATGCAATACTGTCTTATAGTTGTATCACACCTTTACTCAGTTGCATGATAACAATTTTTCTAGGCGAAATTCTTGTGTATAAGTACGTCAAATAAAGAGACAACTGTATGTAGGATGTGTTGTCTATTAAGAATTATTTTTTTTAGCTACACTAGCTATGTAACCTTGTTGTAATTCATCTTATCCATTTACTGAGTAAGCAACGCATTACTTATCGATCTTTATTGTATCATATCTGTTGAATTTCTCTCTTTTTTATATAGTTGAGTCAATTGATGCAGAACAATTTGATTTATCTTATAATAATGATAATTGGAGTAGTTCATGGTTCAATCCAAATGGAAGTGAATATTTACTTGGTCAAGTTGCATCGGTGTATGCCTCTCATCTACCACATCGTGCTGTAATGAGTGAAGATCATTTAATTAGTAATAGTGTTTTGACACAGTTCTCTGAATGTCTTACATCTTGTAGTCGTTCCAATAATCTAGCCATCACAATATTTACATCAAGTCACTTAAGATCTCTTGTAAAAATGGTATGTTATTATTTTTGTTTTGTTTTGACATTGTGTTATACATAACTAAATGTCTCTGTAAATGACAAAGCAAGCGGGCAATTTTTTTGTGTAAAATTCTTACAATTTAACACTGATATTCAGTGTAGATATAAGCTCATTAACTTGATTTTCAGCTAAAGAATCTCGGATTCTAATCGTGCTCGACCTCCTGCAGGCTTGGAAACTGCATGGTATTATCAGTCCTAACGCCATTAGTCTAATTTGATGGCCTGGTGTATGGGAAAGCCTATTTTCAATTGTTAGTTTGTAGAGGGATGGTCGTGCTATATATATGGCGAGTTGACAGAAGTTAGAATTCATGAGCCTAACATTAGATCGTGTCCCATTGGCTGAACTGTGTACGAGCTTGCCTTGTAAACTGAAGTTCGTGGATTCAACCTCCGTGACCGATGGGGTCACGGGTGTGTGCTGATGATGAAGAGTCGCAAACTAGGACGAAACAGCTCTCCAGTACCCTCTGGTTCTCCGAATAAAGTCAGTTCGTGATTCTAAGTGATATTAAGTCAAATGTTAAATACTTTATAGTACCTCTGATCTTTTCTGCCGTTTTCCACAATGTGTTTATTTCTAGAAAGGTATTTCGTCTAACCTTCTAAGTAAGAAAATTAACACAATCCTTTTACAGTCTCCTAACTCTTGTATTCTACGTATCCCTCATTATTGCTCCCTATTAATCTCTCTAGGGCTATTCAAAAAAGGATTTGTTTGTAGCATTGAGAAGAAGAAGGATACTAAAAGCTGTCGATAGGGCGAGTGGTGTGTCGCTAAGTCAACTCGTTAATACTGTTGTGAAAAGACACTTGATCTCATGCAAGAAATTGACGAATATCATCTTGTCAGACGCTGGGAAAACCCCTTGGTTATACGCAACTCTCTCTGTCTTATCAAACGGAACGGAACTAGAGTCAATTCACTATTTTTACTATTATTACTATTACTATTGTTATTAAAACGATCGCTTTTCCGTCTTTCTTCCTCTCTTTCTTCATAAAAATCCATAAAGGCTTACCAGTTAATGAATGAACGATTCGCCAAACGTTTGGACTCATTAGCGCTTAGCTTTTGGCCTGTAAGTTGATATACACATATATATGTATATATATATTTCTATCTACCATGTTGTGTTATTATCACTTCCACTCATATTGTCTTTTCAACCTCCAACCTCTATCTCTGTTGTTGTCACTTCAGTTTTTTTATTATTTTTATTATAATTATTAGCATAGATTTGATAATTGATATATATACATGCATCTACACATATATCTATTGTTGATTTATTTCTTTAAAAAATTATAGTATCGTCCAAAAACTGGCCGTTATCCCTATCGATCATTTGCGCATTGTTTAAGGTTATGTTGTCTTCTGTTGATACGGGATATTTTTCGTAATCCTAAGCAAGGTGAGTAATTTAAAAGTTATTGTGATTGTGTTTGTTTGTTTTTAAAACGCCTTTAATTCAGATATATATAATGAATTGTTATTTATTGTATTGTTACTATTATTATTATTGTTCTCTTAGGTTCCGAGTGGAATATAGGGCTTCAACAGCCCACCTCCACTTTGTTCTTTTTTATGTATGGTCATCTTTAGCTCCGCGCAGGATTGCCCATAGTTTGTCATCTCCTCCTCACACGATCTCCACCATATCACCCTCGGACATATGCCCAACTCATCGTCCCCCAGTCAGGTCCCACCGGAGAACATGCATTGAACGCGATATCTTTCGACGTTCCCCCCCCCCCAGTGTGTGCCCAATCCATCTCCAGTTTCTTCTACATAATTGTTGAGCAATAGGTCCTTAGTTAGTTTGTCCTCATAGTTTCTTGCTGCTAATTCTCTCTGACCGGCCATGTGATTTTCAATATAGCTTCAGTGAAAGTAGCTGCTGTTAAAAGTCTGCTATAGCCTGTTGGAAATGCTTTTCTTGACGTGCAATGCAAGTTTCTAACCCATGTAAAAGTGCTAACTGACTTAACATTAATGTTGAAAATCTGAGTGTTGTTCTTTGTGCTGAGTTGAATGCAGAAGATTTCCAAACTGATTTCAGATTGATGGAAGTGTATCTTGCCTTTTCGATTCTGACTGGCTTTGACATTTTAATCTATTCCGACTACCTGTGGTTGAAACGATGCTTCCTAGATAAGTGAAGCTAAGAAGTAACCTCTGTCAAATCTCTCCCATTGATGGTGATTCGTGCTGGTTGTTGTTGTTGCTGTTGGTTGATTATCTTCATCACCTCCGTCTCCACCTTGTCTATGTTCACTTGAAGTCCTGTCTTCGCTGTCAGCTTATCCTGCCAATTTGTTCGTTTTCGTTTGTAAGTCTTCGAGCTTGTGTAACATTAGACACAAATCATCTACGCGCGAAATCCAGATCTTATAGATTCTTCTTATCGGTCCAGTGTATTCTTGTCTTGTCGCTTCCCATAGTATGGCACATGGTCCAGTTCATCATAATTAAGAATATCATCGTGGATGGTGATAGCCAGCCAGCCAGCCTTTTCTTACTCCTGTCTTCACTTCACAGTGGCTTTGCTGAGCTCTCCTTTGTGGATCACCAGACGCCGCCATATAAGCCATTGAATGAGGTTGGATAAAGATTTAGACACTCCATAGTGATGAAGTAGTTTCCGGATTACTTTGCAGTCAACACTATCGAAGGCTTTTTCAAAGCCAATGAAATTGATGAATTGTCAATTATCTGTCACTATCATCACTGGTTTACCAAATATCATTTATGGATAGTAATTTTTATTTCATCAGGTTAAGTTAAAGGCTTAGAATCTGAGGATGTTGAATAGTTAGAAGACAGATACGTGGAACAGATTTTTCATGTATCAACAGGCTATGAGCTACACATATTATGTGTGCTTGACAACTTATGATACTGTACGGCGTATGAATCTTTAGTTGATTGGTCGTCTGGGAAGGGCACTTGCTGTGTATGCTGAGCTACTACTGTCTTCCTCGACGAGCAGTATTAGCTGACATAACGTTGGGTTGTAATAGAGTTATGGGTAGTCAAACTGCAATCTAACATCAGTCCATGCAGTCTTTGACAGTTGGTTTGAGCCCCATAAAGAGGTGTAGGCTGCTTTATTTTTGATCCTGGGGACTCTGAGAACCAAATGGCTTGGACACTGTCAGTGATATGACTGAAAATCGTTGTCAGTGGCGCAGATGCATTCGCTGAGCGTAGTGTCGTAGTTCTTCTGAAATTTGTTTTCTACTTACTTTTGTTTATCTTTGTGTGCTACATGGAATGTGACAACTTGAACTGGTGTATTTTTGTGCAAAGTTCTATGATGAAACTCAGTTAGTCTAGACGTCTGACTTCTGATCACTTCTGGCCATAAGTTCGAAACCTGCTCCATTTATCGAAGTTTCGCCAGCCAAAATAGATTTGGGTCATTGCCAGGCAACTGTGTGGTTGTTGAGTAACATTCCATTCCGTACTATAGTGGCGTTCAAGTTGAAGCAGATGAGGCGAGATTTGAACTCCGACTGTATTTTCTGAAAGCAGTTATGTAGAATGAGTTTATGCCATTTTCTTGTTTGATTTATATATATATATATACCTGGGGTTCTAGTGAGAAGTCGTGACCAGTAGGGTGCAGCAGGTCGGGTGTGAGGACAAATACTCGCCAAAGACATTGGCTAGGGGTCGCGCTATGTCGTGAATTGGCAGAAGTTAGAATTCATGGGCCATTCGATCGGGTCCCAGTGGCTTAATGGTATACGAGCACGCCTTGTAAACCAGAAGGTCCTGGGTTCGAATCCCGATGGGTGCGTACTGCTAAAGAGTCCCAAACTAGGACGAAACAGCTGTCCAGTACTCCCAGTTTGTTTTCCAATGGTTCTCTAACTAATGTCAGCTCATGATGAAAATCCTGTAACCAGTCAAATCCCTACAAACCAACACTTGAAAAACAAAACGGTTGGAGCGAAGGAAATTTTCTTTTTGATGAAGTCTTCAACTAGACTGTACATTTGTGTATATGTAACAAAAGGGTGAGAAAGTTCAAGAACTATTGCCGGTCGAAGGTAAAGAGGATGATGATCAGAAGAGCTTCACGTGCTTTTGAAAGTGTGTGGGCGGTAGTTACTTCCCGGCTGCCCACACCGTGGAAGTTGATTTATTCTTGGGGTACCTGAAACAAAGAGAATTAGTGTTGTGTGTGATTTCAGAGCCTAGGGCATAACTGCCTGTATGAACTGGCTTCTTGGATCGGTTCCGTATTAGTAAATTACCGCCGGTTACTGACCACCGTAGAGTAAGTCGGGATGTACAGTTTTCATGGGGCCAACCTTTTCTTCTAACCCCCTCTCTCTCCATAGTGGAGAGACAGCATAGCTGGCTGGCATGCTGATCATCTGAGGGAAACACCTTACTGCTGTTACATCCCTGTTCCCCAGCAGTACGACTTTTCACACAGACCTCCAGCATGCCGGTAACTGCTTTTAGTCTAATTGCTATCCTAACAATCTTCCTGGCATAGTAGGAACTGCAGGAACAATAGTTCCAGCCAGCGTAGCTTGTTGGGTCATCGCGATATGCAAGCTGCTGCTGCTGCTGCTGGATTCAACATAGAACTTGGCACCGATGTGCAGCAGTTCGAGTTGCCACGATATACAAGCTCGTCAAGGCTCGTCAACGAGCCTTCCGTATCTATGTTGTGGTTTCGTCAGCGGTTAACCCTCTGGGGCTGATGCAACTCCCCACATAAGTGAAGTGGTCAACACGCTCCACAAACCACTTCAATCCTACCTATCTTTAAGTTAGGAGTGAGTCGATGCAGTTGTGTCCTGTAGCATCATCCTACATTTGAAAGCAGCACACGAATTGCATGGCAAACGTTCGTAAATTGCTCTCTCCTCAAGGTATTCAGAAGACTGTGCATTTTGTCAGCGTCTTCACCTAGTTGGGAGGAGGACTATATCATCCGCATGTTCTTAGTCAACGAGATGATAATTCCCTGATAACAAGTTAATCTCGTGAGTCGCTGAATTCAGTTAGGGTTAAATCCATTATTATTATTGTTTCCTTTAATTCCTAGAGAAACATAGGGCTTCAGCCGTGCGTCTCCATTGCGTTCGGTTCTCTGCTAGAGTCTTCACCTGGCTCCAAGTCTGCCCACACGTTTTAATCTCCTCTTCACATGACCTCCTCCAAGTCACCCTTGCACTGACGACCAACTCGCCACTTCCCTTTCGGGTTCCACTCGAGCGATGGCTTGTCTAGTGATGTCACTTGATGGTTTCCTCAGAGTATGACCAATCCATCTCCATTTCTCCCTGTCTATTTGTTTTACAATCGGTTCCTGGTGGGTTGGTTCGCTCCCAGAGATCCCTCCCTGTTGCTGATCTTTTCTGGCCATCTGATCTTGAATATTGAGCGAAGAAAACTGTTAATGAAGGTCTGTAGTTTGTTACATCCATAATGAAATTAAACGGAAATTGGGACAGTGGGCATCTCTAAAGGATCACTAGTGGTTACCTCTTCAAATGACAACTCTCCTCAGGCTCCTCATCTAGCTTCATGATTTCGAGTAGAGTACCTTGTCGCTACTACTACAGTTAACCGGCATATGCAATAATGCCACTCATAAATTCTGCATTTTATGCATATGCATAGAAATTCTTCTCAATAATTGACTTACAAATTATATTGAAGATATTACATATCATTAATGCAATTAATTAATTAATTAGTCCCTAACAATTGGCGTCATTGTTTCGGGTGAACTTCAGTCTTGCAGACTTTTACAGTCTCATTAAGTTGGCTAAATTGTGTATTACACTTTGATTTTGTTAAATACTTCGAGTTATAATCAATCTAATTATGTAGAAGGCAAAATAATCTTCATTTTGTATCATTCAATATCACAGAGCAATTTTTTAAATTTCTATTTTAATCGTTTTTTCGTAATATGTCATGTGAACAATAACTAAGCGTAAATGTAATTTGATTGAAAGATCACTTTTAAAAATCAACTGGAATGTTGTTGCTTAACACGTCAGAAGTCAGTTTGACAGAAGTAGCAAGAAAGAAAATGTCATATCTTGCTGATAGTTATCACTCTTTATCCCTTTGATTTTCAACTGAACCGAGTCGAATTCTCATCGTTGAATTAATTATGTATGTACTGAAGGAGTGTAGTTCAACTCGTCACACTTCATAACAACACATATACAGGTTGAACTATAGTAAACAGGAAATTTACGACAAAAAGAATGGTGGTGGCTTTGTAACCGGAAGGTCCTGGGCTCGAACCCTGGTGGCGAGTGAATACTGATGAAGAGTCCCAAATTGGAACGAAACAACTGTCCAGTACTTCCACGTTTTCCAATGATTCTCTAACCGATGTCAGCTCACGGTGAAATCGTGTAAGCAATCAAATCAGATCCCTGAAAACCAGCACTTGAAAAGAATAATTTTATGAAAAACAATGAGGATGTTTACAGGATTTCATCATGAGCTGACATTGGTTAGAGAACCACTGGGAAACCTGGGAGTACTGGATAGCAGTACGTACCTATCGGGGTTCGAATCCAGGACCTTCTGGCTACAAGACAAGCCAGCTCGTAGACCATTAAGCCACTGGGACCTGATCCAATGACCCATGAATTCTAGCTTCTGCCAATTCACGACATAGCGCGACCGCTAGCCAATGTTTTCGGCGAGTATTTGTCCTCACACCCGACCTGATGCACCCTACTGGTCACGATTTCCCACTAGAACCCCAGGAAACTGCCTACCTGCATATCGATGATATGCTCACTGGCGACTGGCTCTATTCAGGTCTCACCATCAACTAAGGGACTTCAGGTTACATGACCACACATCGTCAAACCACCTGCGCAAGGAGCCGATATTTCAACCTGAGACCGAGCACTTCGGTCCAATCAGTCGACGAGAAAGTCTTGAGGTAAATAATTAATAAGACCCGTTGTACACGAGGTGGCTGTCGTGGCCCAAGTGGTCTAGTGAATAATGCTTTGACATTTGAAACTATGAGTACTGGGTTTGAGCCTCGGTGGAAACACCATCACTACTCACTGGAGAATGCAGGTACATCCAGTTGACGAGTCCCAAGTGGGGCGAAATGCGCATCTTGGACTTCGCTTGTATCTGCTACTTTGTAGTGCTGAAAGTTTAACTTCGCGTCCCCCGCCCCCCAACCCTATCTGGTAGCATCGATTGACAGAAAGTGCCCAGGGAATAAGTAGAATACTGTACTTACTCTCTCACTAAATCTATACAGGCAGGCATGATTTGATTTGGAGTGACGTTTTGTAGCGTTCCTTAAATTTGATTGGTTCTCGAATGTTAACTTTTGGTAGACCTTTGCTTTGGTTGTGATGATAATTCAACTTCGCTTAATCTCCTCAATGTAATGAATTCTGATTAGTCTCTATGCTGTAATTGTTTCTTCTGTGAATTTCCATTGGTTATAGTTTCTTAATTAATGTCATCTTGTCTACAGCTTAGTGCTTACTTGGATAAAAATAGCTAAGAAGGTTAAGGACAAATACATTACTTGTTGTATGGGTGAGGAAGGGTGATGAATTTGTCTCTTGACAAACAGTAGTCTGGCTTTTAAGTCCACTCCATCCCAGTTGTTTCGATTGCATTTTCAATTACCATTACTGTAGATTACCGTACCATTCGCATATTGAACTCCTGGTACTTCTAACAATGCTTAAAGGTCCACGGTGATCGATGTGAAACAACTATCTGGTCAAGTGCTTGGTCTTGTTAGTCAGTCGGCGAAATACTACGCCGGTAGTCAGTCCAACGACTACTGGTTTGAATACCTCTACGACTATTCACTCTGTTGCCTCAAATGTAAGTCTTGGAAATTAATCTGAGGCTCGCTAGTGACTGGCTACTGGATGAAGTTGCCTGGAGTTATTTCGAATGAAAAATTCGTCACCAGTGGGGCCCACCAGGTTGGACACAAGGACATAGGAAGTCGAATCGCGTTCCAGTGGTTGGATGGTCTGCGAGCTTATCTTGTAACCGGAAAGTCTTGGGTTCGAACCCTGGTGGATGGATGGGTGCGTTCTGTGGAGGAGTCCCGGGTGGAGACGAAACAGTTGCCCAGTACTCCCTGGTTTTCAGTGGTTCTCTAACTAACATCAATGCCTACAGACTAACTCTTAAAAATCAAGTATGATCACTATCACCGTACAAAAAATCAATCTCTTAAACGTGGATTAACTCAAGACTAATCAGTTCATAAATGTATTACATTTAACTAGACCATAATATTTTGTATAAGCCTGACTGAATGATCAATGTAACTATTATTTTTGATCCATATAGAAATCAGTGATAAACTCTCATCCAGTGTACAAAGTTTAATGCTTGAAGTCTATGCAATCTGTCTAAATGAAGTGTCACGTTTATCAGCAGAAGCAGCTGGTATCCGTTCACCACCAGATAATGTAAATAAACAAAGAGCTTCATCTGAAGAAGCATCCTCGCCAGTTGAAAATGGTCGACCACACTTTTCGAATCCCGAAGATGATGATGAGGAGGAGGAGCAGCAGCAGCAAGACGGGAGAGAGGAGAAAGCTAGGAAAGGCAGCCGCCACAACAGTGAAGAACAGCAAACATCTAAAAATGTCAACTGTTCACCAGTGAGAAAAGAGAATGGCATGCTTAAATCAAGCCCAACCAGTAAATTGCCTAATGGGTATTCAAATGACACTAATTCACCTGATGAATATCACAGCTTTGATGATAGTGGAAATAATATGGTAGGTTTTTCTTTTTAAAAAAGTGTGTTTATTTTTACTTTCATCTTGCTTAATTTGTTCCTAAATGTTGACATCCCAGGAATTTTGTAGGAGGTTATTTAACCTCCTGTCTGCCACCCACACGGTGGGAGTTGATTTCTTGCTGAAGTATCTGAAATAGAAAAAAAAGCCTTTGGTGTTGTTTAACTACCGGGCTCAGGGGCTAGTTACACTCAGCCTGATTGAAGTGGTTCTTGGAGTTCTGTCTGTACGAAGATCTTTCCGCCTCAGGGTCAGTCAGTTGGGATGTACACTTTTTGTAGTCAACATTTCCTAATCTCCTGTCTTCAATTGGCGGAGGGGAGACAACATAGCTGGTTGTCCAAGTTGAATACATAATTGCTGTTTCACCCCTATTCATCACCAGCAGTACGACTCCGGCCTCAGATCACTAAGAGAGTGTAAACGAAAAACTATATACTACTGATTGGTTGAGATGAGTAGTGGCATAGCACTCATATCAACCAGCAGTGCCCGCTGGCCAGATCGAGGTGATCTAAATGGTGTAAACGACTCGTATTATGATGGTAACAGCGTTTAGTCTAACCGATACCCCAGCGATCTTTCTGGGATAGTAAGACCTACACAGGAATATCACTCTCAGCCAGTTTAGTTCTTTGAGTCATTGAATTATGCCAGCCTAACCACCATTTCAAAGTAGCGGCTATCGGTTAAATTCGTCATAGGATTCTTTCTCCACTACATAATTGCCTTTATCAACTCATCTTTATGTAGTAACTAAACTGTGTTTTAAACTTTCAAAGTCAAGGCCTATAATAGTGCGAGATTTCTCACAGCATAGTTGATGTGTTAGTGCGTAAGCCAGTCATGCATTTGGCTGGCAAATCTTCTTCGTTACCCTTTGTTTCTTCACACTCTGACGGCTTTTTTTATGAGTTTGGATTTAACTGCATTCAAGATCTCATCTATGCAGTCTTAATTCACTTTCATTCAAATTATTTTGTCTAGTGAAATAGTTCATGTAATACCAGCACACATTGATATTATGTTAATTGTTTAAGGATAACGTTTCGAGCACAGTTAATGGGGGCTCCCAGTTAAAGCCTGTGTGTGCATGTGAGGAGTTGTTTTGATGAACAGTGATTCAATGATAAACCTCTCCCTTCAACTGATCATATTACTATTGAGCTTTGTTGCCTTTTTCTCAGTTTGTTGTATAGATGTATGTTAGCTTCATACTTAGTAAGTAAGAGCTGACGTTTTCATTGGCGTAATTTTGCATATAAGCCGTCTGTATCCATGCTGAGATTTCGTCAGGAGTCACTCCATTTGGACTGATGCAACTCCCCAAATAAGTGAAGTGGTCAACATGCTCCACCAACCACTTCACTTCTACTTATCTTTAAGCTAGGGATGAGTTGATGTAGTCGTGTCCTGTAACCTCATCTTGCATTTGACAGGAGCGCGCGAATCACATGCTTGCTTTCTCTTCAAGGTTTCCAGAAGACTGTGTATTTTGTCAGCGTCTTCACCTATTTGGGAGGACTATATCATCTGTATGCTCTAAGTTAACGAGATTATTTCCTTGTAACAAGTTAGTCCCTGAGTCGCTGAATTCAGTTAGGGTTAAGTCCATTAGTACATCTATGATGAAACTAAACAGAAATTGGCAGTCCCTAATTGGTTGATTGTAGCTGATTATGTTTCCCTCTCGTTCACGTCATATTAAACTTCACTTTATTCGATCCTTTCCTATCATCCGTTACTGCATACAGGTTGCTATCGCATCAAAATCAGCTCGACTGATACCATCTTCAACTCCAGTATCCTCGGAGTCAAAAGTGAGTAGTTATGCTGATAAAGAATCACCTATTGTTTCAAACATTGATGGTGTTGGAACTAACAGTTATATTCTATCCTCATCATCTTTGATTTCATCGCCTACAAAGCCAAGTGAAAATCAATCACAAAGTACCAGTGCTGCTGTCAACAATACCACCAATGTAACCATGCTATCGAGCGATCGAGTTGAGAGTTCAGCAAATGCTTTATTCGCTTTTGATTTAGTCACTGCAACAACAGCTGCTTGTATACAAATTCTAACAAAATCAATTAAAGATATGTCAGGTAAGTTATAATGCCTAAAAAAGTCATGTAACTTATTCTGCTAGTATCTTTTTGTAACTTTGTTTTAAATAATATAAATAATAATAATAATAAACGTAGAACATTTGGATGTATATTTCGTCATGAACCAACATTAGGTAGAGTTCACTGAAAACCAAGGAAAAATGAATAACTGTTTCGTCCTAGTCTAGGACTCTTCAGTAGTGTACACCCAGCACCTCACTAGGGATCGAACCTGGCTGGGACTTTCAAGTTACGAGGTCAAGTTTTTTTGTTGAGGCTATCACTATATTATGAATTGACAAAGTTAGGATTGACGCGTCATTGAATTACGAAACAGGTGGCTGAATGGTGTAGGTGGGTGGGGGTGCTCACTGATGAAAAGTCCAAAACTAGGATAAAACAGCTGTCTAGTTCTCCTTGGTTTTCAATGATCTGGCTAACTAATGTTGGCTTGTGATAAAATCTACATTGAAATTCATCGAAGTCCTCACGAAATTCATAATTTAAAATAAGTTTTAATATTGGTTTAAGTTCAAAATGCGTTTCACCCTATTTTGAACTCGCCAGTTGATGAATACACCAGCGCACTAGACTGGTGTCGGTGTGTCATTACCGTAGATATTGGTAGTGAATTGAGTTTCAGCACTCCTGTCTTCATTTCTCCTTCAGTTAGTTTGTTGGTTTTCGCCTGTAAGTCTTCGAGTTTATGTGACATTAGACATTTATCATCTGCAAAATCCAGATCTTCTAGAATCTTCTCACCGGTTTTTCAGTGTACTCCTTGCCCCCCACAGTCTGATGTATAATCCAGTCCACCACAATTAAGAATATCGTCGGTGATAATGGACAGCTCTGTCTTACTGCTGTATGCACTTCGAACGCCTCGCTGAGTTTCCCGTTGTGCATCACCTGACACGTGGCATTGTCATATAGCTAGCTGTTGAATGAGGTTGACAAAGAATTGGGCACTGCACGCCGTAGTGTTGAAGTAGTTTCCAGATTACTTCTCCGTCAACGCTATCGAAGGCCTTTTCAAAGTCGACGAAGTTGAGACAGAGGTTTGTCTGCCATTCTGTGATTTGTTCGATAATGATGCGTAGAGTTACAATTTGATCAGCACATGATTCGCCTTTTCTGAATCCAGCTTATTCCTTAGGGTGGAGTCCTGTATTCAGTGCATCTTTTATTCTCTCCAGAATGATGCGACTTAGTATTTTAATTGGAGTGGACAAGATTGGCATTATTCCACGCCAGTTCTTGCACAAGCCTAAGTCGCCCTTCTTTGGCAGCTTGACAAGGTAGCCTTTCTTCCAATCAGTAGTTACCTTTCCTTCTTTCCAAACCTTTTGTAATAATGGCGTGAGCACAACTGCCGCAGTCTCTGGGTCAGTTTTCAGTGCCTTGGGGGGAATTCCGTCTGGTCCTGCTGCCTTCCCGGCCGGAATTCAGCAGTTAATCACATTTAGGATTTCTGCTTTCGTTGGAGGATTGTTGTCCACTGTTAGGCAGTTGTGTACGTGCTTTTGGTGGTATTTCTCGGCGAGTTGCAGGTAATGGGCGATTCAAGAGTCCTTTGAAGTGATCTGCCCATTGTCTTATTTGTTTCTCCTCCTTGGTAATCAGGTTCCCTTGAACATCTTCTATTGGTTTCATCTCTTCCCGGATAGAGACCTGGTTATCTGATATAATGTTGAGAGGTCTCTTTTACCTGCGGCCGATTCCATTGAGTAGTTGTCAGTAAATATAATAACTGGCAAAATAATCGTTAGTCATCACATGTAACTGTGTTTATAATACCTTATTCTGTGAGTTACAGTTCCCAATTGTGAAGTGAAAAGTGTGCTTTTTTTTATTATGCTTTCGTTTGGGAACATGAGTTTGTTTGTTGCTCTCAAAACAGTGATAACCTACCTGGCAAAATTTATCCCCTTTTTGTTTACATAGGGAACTGTTTTAGTATTACTTAATGATCTAATTTGTGCCCTGCGAAACGGTTTGCTCTGTCCTCCTTTACGACTGTGACACATGGCCATTGAAAGCGGATGATACGAAAAGGTTAACTGTCTTCGATCATAGGTGTCCGCCTTCTGTCTCATGTGATAACATAGTGAGTAATCCTGAGATTAGACGTAAGCAAGGAGGGTAAGTTAATCAGTGACGTTGTGAAGCTACATCCTATTGAGATGGTTAGGACATGTGTTGCGCATGCTAAGACGTTCACTGTTAACCGACGTTGGATCAGATTGAGAAAGAGCTAGTGGCGGAGGTAAAACCAAAACTTGAAATCACTCCATGAAGTTTTTGACTTCCTGACTGGTTGGAGTCCTCAGGATGATAAGAACATATGGCTGGAGACAATTCTTGAGATGGCTGAAAGTCGTCCTCAATGGTGCAGGTACATTCCCCCCTCTCATATCCACTTAATCGTCATGTTTTCTCATGCTACTATTTCCTCTCCCTTACATTTTTGCTTACTATGTTTCCTTAGAAATGCTTTTTCTCTGCTCTGTCTACGTTTGTGTGCTGCACAGAGTGTAGCAAGTTGAAGCGCTAGCACTTCTGTGCAAAGTTCTATGTTGAATCTCAGACAGTTTGACGGTCATCAGGACACCAATCATTTTCTATAGTTTGGTTTGTAAGGGTTAGTTATGTTTTTACGAGTTGGTCACGGATTGGTATCAGTTAGAGAACCATTGAAAACCAGCTTGGAGTACTGGGCGGCTGTTTCATCCTAGTTTTTAGGAATCATCGGCAGTACACACCCACTGCCAGGGTTCGAACCCAGGACCTTCCAGTTACAAGGCAAGCTCGTATACCATTCAGCCACTGGGACCCGATTCAATGGCTCACCCATGAATTCTAACTTCTACAATTCGTGATTTAGCGCGACCCCAGCACTCCCTGGTTTTCAATGGTTCTCTAACTGATATAAATCCGTGGTCAACTCGTAAAAACACCAATCATTGCTTCTTATTAGAATTCTATGAAATTCCCATTACGATTTTTATTTTTTATTTCTTTCTTGTTTTCTCTACATAGATTCTGAAAGTTTGCTTATTCGCCTGCTGGATCGTATTGCCAAAGGGATCGATTTAAAATTTGTTATCCATGCAGATCGCGTATTTGAACAAGCCGGTGCTGCTGCAACATCATCCTCAAAAAGTTTCACCATACCATCTGCATGGGCTGTACAAAATCTGCGTGGACACTTTAATATACCACAACGTCGTATTTCTACACAAGTTGGCATTCACCAGTTAATGTCTGATACAGCCTTATCTACTACAGCTAATACTCTGAATAATCGTAAATCACGGCATAGACCACGTCTTGCCCATTTAGTTTGTAGTGCTGGTCTGCTAGTTGTTGTACTGGAGAGTGTTGGTCAGTTGACACAACATTTCCCGCATTTAGGTAAAGCTAGTTTAGATGCTTTAATTGATTTCTTATTGAATCCAAGTCCAGTGTTGAGTAGACTGAATCGTCAGATTGACAGGCTGAGACATTCTAAAGCTGGAATTCTTATCATTATTGATACAATGAGGGTGAGTTTGTTTCCATGGCTATACATATACATATATGTCCATTTGAATTGAATACTCTTTGGTATAAAATTTTGTTTTCTATGGTTTGGTTTGTAAGGGTTACTTATGTTTTTACGAGTTGATCACGGATTGATATCAGTTAGAGAACCATTGAAAACCAGCTTGGAGTACTGGACAGCTGCTGTTTCATCCTAGTTTGGGAATCATCCGCAGTACGCACCCACTGGGATTCGAATCCAGAACCTTCCGGTTACAAGGCAAGCTCGTGGCTGAATGGTATACGAGCTTGCCTTGTAACCGGAAGGTCCTGGGTTCGAATCCCAGTGGGTGCGTACTGCCGATGATTCCCAAACTAGGATGAAACAGCAGCTGTCCAGTACTCCAAGCTGGTTTTCAATGGTTCTCTAACTGATATCAATCCGTGATCAACTCGTAAAAACATAAAATTTTGTATAGCTATTGATCATTACAAATAGCTACATTTCAAGACGGCAAGGCATTGCTTTTTTGTCGAGCGGCGTTAGCTGACATGGAATTAATTGGGAAAAAGTTAGGGTTGGTCAGACCCAATACCTAGTATAAGTCCATGAAATCTTTGACTGTTGAACTTAGCCACGTAGGAAGGTGGAGACTGGATGATCGGGCCCTTAAGACGCTAAGAATCAATGGTGATGGAACTCAGAATTGTTCCCAGTGGTACAGATACAGTTGCTCTCTGTGAACTCCTATGCCTATCAAATTCTCATTATTCTCCATGTATTTATTCTTTCTCATAAATATTTACGTTCAATACAGTTCCTTTCAATTTCTTCTCCCTACCTTTGTGCACCATGTGTAGTGTGGACACTTGAACTGTTGCACTTTTTTGTGAAGTTATACACTGAAAACTCACTCAAGATTCTATTTCAGTCATGACTGCCTACAAGCTTTCATTTCTTCTTCATATAATCTTTTCGGTGTCACCGTTAGAACACCACCCCTCCCAACCCTTCGCGTCTCATCTGCGTTGCACTCACGTATCTGACTTTTGATGGTACTTGAGTGTCTCCCCTAGAGTATCTTCAGCCCATCTCCACCAACTAATTAGTTAGTCAGCTAGTCAGAACGCAGTTACCCAGTTCCAGACTTTAAACCATACTTATTGTATTGGAAGCTGGCGATATTACCCGGCTGTCTGGACTGAAGTAGGCAGAGAGAGAGGGGGACTCGAACCTGGGGCTCATAGGTTGATGAGCCACATCATTACAGCCTCCACCCAGTATTATATATGAGCAGTAGTAGCTGAATGGTCTACTAGCTCGCCTTGTAACCAGGAGGTCCTGTGTTCGAACCCTAGTGGATGCGTACTGATGAAGAGTCCCAAACTAGGATGAAACAGCTATCCATATTTATCAATTGTATCATGTGGTTTTATATCGAAGGCATGTTTACACTTTATTATCATACTACTGAGGCTGTTTGAAATTTTTTTCACATCGGCACGAATGTCAGAAAACTAGGCACTATCGAAGATGACGAAGAATAGAACAAAATATCCTCTCTCTGTATAGAATCTGTTCACAGTTATTCAGTTTGTGTTAGACACAAGTAAACACAAGGTAGAAGTTTTTTTTGTGGTATTGTCTATTTTTTTCTTCTTCTTTAACGTGATTATCTAATTCTTTCCTAACCAAAAGTCATATGGTATTACGCAGATGTTTTAGGAAAAAAATGCATATTCATTTGTTATTATGAAATGTTGAATAGAAAGCATGAAAGTAATCTTTACTTTCTCTCCACTCTTGTAATTATCACTGTCATTTTTTATGCATTCTCATCATAATGAAATATGTCTCTGTGGAAGCATAAACACGGCACAACATCGACACTAAGTGGTGATACGTCACATTTCACGATGTGTTTGACGGATGAGATACTGTTCCAACCCCCAAACCGAAGCAGATGATTGTCTTAAGGGACCACTCCCTGTACTTTTGACTTGAAGTTTGATCCACAGGACAACAGAGCAGTACCATTCGTTTCTTTTGGATTTTTGAGCTCATGTATACCATTGGTTTGGAATTAGGATTTTCCAACTCCTCTAGGTTGTGCGTCGGTGGCATAGCGGTTAGGACGCTCGCCGACCATGCACATGGTCCGGGGTTCGATCCTCGGCCAACGCACTCCTTTACCTCGTTAAGCCAGAAATAGTGCCGGTGAAGAGGAAAGCCACTAGCTTGAAGCCCTATGTTTCACTGGGGAACGTGAAGGAAAAAAAACTCCTCTAGGTGGGGAACCCAACGTCCAGCGGGCCGGTGATAATTTTCGAACTTTTGTGAAAATCCCTGTCACCACATGGAGACAGTGAACAGCACTTAATGGAGATTTGTAGCTCAAGTGGGTGATATTGAATTAGTTGTGTTCTCTGAGCTTCTAGACAACATCTTCAGCCAGCTCAGGTCTTAGTATGAAATTAACTTATTCAAATTCCCCGTGTATGATGTAATCGTATCTCCTGGCAACCACTGTCGTGATTGGTTGTCCATTTACGTCTCTATTGGTCATTTTTATTGGCTTGGAATTCGAACTTTCTTTTCATGTGATTTACTTTTCATAAGCTTGTAAATTTGGTCTATAATATAATGTGTTTGTTAATTGCTGGCGGATTCACTTGAGTACCAGGTTTCTAGGATCTCCATGACTGCATTTTTGGTGTTTGCTGTATTTCAATTACCCCCAATCAAATTGGTGTCCATAATTATCCACATGCACAACCAGTCACGATAGCGGTCGCCAGGAGATACGATTACATCATTTGTAGAGAATTTAAATGAGTTCTTTTTATACTACTAAAACCTGCTAGTTGTCTAGATGGGTGGACAGTGAAAGCTTCGCAATTAAATTAACCAGCTCCGCCTCAGAGAATATAACTAATTGAATGAATAGGACTTACCTGACAGAAGGTATGAATGAATGCATAGCCACACAAGAGAGTGTATCGAGGGAGGGAGAAGCTACAGTCATTTCTGAGGGATGACAAGCCTGCATAGAATCAATTTTATTTCATGAGGGAAAATGTCATTCCACAACCAATAAGACAGTAAAACATAATAAAATATAAAGAATTAACGAGTTCCCTTCGCTTAACGTGTCCTTTATTTTCTTTGATTTGTTCCTCCATCACCTTAGCATATATCAAATAGCTAGCCAACTGCTTCCCTCCATATATGATTAGCAAAAGAATTATTACCATCTAATTGTATATAAGCTTTATGTTTCTTATTGCACTTGTTGTTTCACTTCGACTATTACGTAATTTTAAGTGTCTCACGGATCTACGAATCAATGATTCCCAGTTTCATTCAGTTACGGGAGACAGCAGTTAACCACATTTATTGTAGTCGTTGCCTGTCGTTTCAAACACCAAAGTGTTGTCTCTACTAGGCCGCTTGGCCCACAATAGCCACCTGTTGTACAGCGAATATCATTATTGGAACGATAAGTAATTGGTTCGAGTCTCGGTGGGAACACCACTCACTGGGGAGATTGCAGGTACATTTGGTTGACGAGTCCTAGATAGGACGAAATGCGCTTATTAGCGTCCTCTGCTAGTCATTATCCATTAGAGGAACAATAATAAAGACCACTTTCAGAATATTAAGATTGTTTGAGAGGAATGTTTTTCCTTCTCCTCAGAAAATATTTTTACCTCTCTTCCTCAACTGCATCCATCCACTTGTATGTTTTGTTTATTTGTTTTTTTTTTGGTGCATAGAAAACAAATTCAAATGCTTCACTTACTGGATATGAAGCACAATTAGCCGAACTGACTAAAATTGAACGTCATTTAACCTATTATAATCGTATATTAGAGCATATACGTGGTGCAGCTATTGAAAGTCTTTGTAGGTAGGTTTTATTCTCTTCACGTTGTTTTCACCATTTTTTGTGGTTATTCATGTGTGTTTTTGTGTATGTTTATAAGCATTTATATAATTTGATATTGCAAGTAATCTATTTGTCTACTTATTGACTGCCCATGTTCCCCGAGAATTGCTTGCATTTAGTAGTGTCATCGTGTAGAGGTAAATCTTGAAGTCCTATGGAGGGTGTTTGCACATAATGGAGATTTTCTTTTAATTAGTGCTTTCATCTTAGTAAATCACCTTCGATGTCTTGGTCATGTGAGTATGGCTGGCTCCCATGTTTGTTGACTCTTTGGCGGTGTGATGGTCAGCTGATGACGTGGAGCCGTGTGATGAAGGATAGTTATGTCAGTTTAGTATCTGTTGGTGTATCGTGTCTTCTTAAGCTGTGGTCTGGAAGATAATCTAAAGATCTGAGTTGCGACAAGACTCGAACCATCAACTTGGTAATTTATAATCAATGAATTAAAGTGTTATCATTTTCAGTTTTTGTAGATGTAAGTGATTCCGCGAGAAAATCCTTTTAGGAATCAAAATGAACTATAAATTGGGCAGTTGTCTCGGTATAATTTGTGGCTCTTCATCTGTGTGCACCCATAATCTTGTGAGGGATCGAAATTAATGATTTCATGGCTTTGGGTATGCATGTTATTATGAAGCCAATGAAATCGGAGAATCTACTAGTTACTGCGATAGTTCATTCACTATTCTAGCCTACTGATGAGTAGCTATCATGAAGTCAGTGCTACTATATGGATCAGAGACTTGCACTGCGCGTCATAAAGAGCACCTCAAACAAACTACAGACCTTCATTAACAGTTGTCTTCGCTCAATACTCAAGATCAGATGGCTGGCCAGAAAAGATCAGCAACAGAGATCTCTGGGAGCGAACCAACACAGCAGGAACCGATTGTGAAACAAGTAGGCAGGAAGAAATGGAGATGGATTGGCTGGCCATACTCTGAGGAAACAAACCATCAAGTGACATCACTAGACAAGTCATTGCTCGAGTGGAACCCGAAAGGGAAGCGGCAAGTTGGTCGTCAGTGCGAGGGTGACTTGGAGGAGGTCATGTGAAGAGGAGATGAAAGCGTGTGGGCAGACATGGAGCCAGGTGAAGACTCTAGTAGAGAACCGAACTCAATGGAGACGCACGGCTGAAGCCCTATGTTCCTGTAGGAATTAAAGGATACAATAATAATAATAATAATCATGAACTTGAGAAATGTCACCAGTCATGAATTCATCATAGCAAAACTTTGAGGAATCCATCTCTCAGCCAGTGGATGTATATATATATATATAATGAGCGGTAGTCAGTTGAGATTCAGATTTTAGATTATGCAAATGAATGGAATTTTGTAGTAAGTGACTACTATTCAGTTTACTATGTTTCTTGACCTAATTGGTGCTATGTAAGTGAGATAATGATTGGCATTCTGGTTATGTAACTGTTCCATCAGAAATAAAATCTAAAAAGTCTCACGATAACTTTATAGATTTTGAATAAAATATAATTTAAGTCTCAACATCAAATATATTATGATATTCTCTAACAGATGTGTGTGTGTGACTCATTAGCATGTAGGAATTTAATCTCTCAGAAATGAGTTGTAGTCATAACTTGGATTCGTTTTGGTCGACCTAAGCAGCCGTCATTATCTAATTGAGATTCATAACTATGTACATAAACTCACAGAGCTGTGTCTCATTGGTTGGTCTAAACACTCGACTCCTAACTACTGGATCACAGGTGGGTTCATACATCTATCTCCTGCTAGACAGGTTTGAAGAATCTTCACACAATAGGTGTAGCTTTTTGTCAACTGCTTGGAAATGTTGGTGATACTTTCGCTTACTTTCTTATTGCGAAATATACTCATTAGCTCATAAGGAAAGACGCAGTTTTTGTTCAGCGAAGAAATATCTCTTCTCAACGACTTCATTTTCAACTGAGGAAGTCCCACTCACCAAAGTGAGAGGGCGAAAGCGGATGCCCGGCGCTCTTCACCGGGTTGACTGTCCATTGGATGACAGTCTAGGGGAGATGGCTAAACCCTGACTCCAAACCTCCAACGACTGGCGTATGAAGCTCACTGGAGCTCACCGGCAGACGTATGGACAAAGGGCTTGTTGGATTTCCTGGATGTCTTGCCCCATTCAAAAAGGCGTATGAACCGAACTCCGGTCACCGGCTGCCAATGGATAGTGGACTCCCTACTCCACTCCTACTGCCTTGTAGGTCACACTTGGTTGTGTAAAGGCTAGAGCTGCACTCTCAAACAAAAGGCCGAGTGATTCTGGGGACATCACTCGTACCAAATTCCCATGAAACTTCATGAACTCTCTTCATCAGATCGCCGTGCCTGGGCAGCGATGATACGAGATGTTCATGAAGCCGGCTCATCCTCCCGTAGGAGATAGCCGAAGTAAAGTAAGTAAGTAACTGTACAGTCGTATTTATATTACGCAAAAGGGCATTAAGGGGCACTAGAAGCAATCTCAAGTTTGTATATGTATAAGCGATATATGGATGACACCTTCATTATTTGTAACGACAATTGTTCAACTGCCGAGTTTCTTGAAAAATTTAATGGTTCTCACCCATCGATGCTTTTCACTATCGACAAAGAATCGAATTTCGCATTTCACTTCTTAGATATGGTGTTAGCTACGAGAGAGAATGGCACGTTAAAAACGTCAATTTATCGAAAGCCAACATTTACAGGTTAGTACACTAACTTCAACAGTTGGGTACCTCTAGTTAGGAAGAGAAATCTATAGATATAGTCGACATTGAACTATATTAAGCCTTTGTACAACTCTCTTAAATAATGAATATCCTGGAATGTTTATCGACAGAAACATCAAGAAAGAAGCCGTCCTCAGCCAAATCACAGTGCCAAAGAAGACACTACTCATGAGTTTGGCGTTCAAAGGTGACACTATCACTGAAATCATCAAAAGTCGTTTATCTAAGTGCATTAAACTCTGTTCTTATGCAGCTGACTTACATTTAGTATTTACCAGCTGAAATATGATTCGATAATGCGTTAAGGACAAACTACCGCCTATGTCCACCCCTATGTGTGTGCATATATTCATTCGCATGCTGATTACATTGAACTTTGTGAGCGTGTTCTCCGTAAACGCGTAGCTGAACACTACCTGATTTGGTTAATGGAAGGTGGGCATAGGACGATGAAGTCTTCAATTCGTGAACACCTTCTGGAGCCAGGTCATTCAGCCCCCAAGGCGTGATTTATCCTTTAAAGTTTTCTACAGGACCAAATCCAACCACTCCAAAAGCTTATGTTTTCTCCGCTTATGCATAGCCCACCGAAACTCCAGCTATACATGGACAGAAACCTAATTTGTGTTTTCAAAAACGTTTTGTTAAACCCCTCTCTTTACCTTCGTCATGGTAATGTTCTTTTACTTTATTTTTATTCTACCAACTGAATTCATTCCACTTCACTTCATTGTTTGTTATAATCGTCACATTGTTAATTTTTTAGACAACACTTGACCTACAATTTGAAAATCTTTATACCGGTTCATTTAGTTATAATCGAAAAGTTTTGTAATTCATCCACTTCAACTCTACCCCCTTAATATATCATTTTAATTATTTTTACTCTTATCATATATGCAATATTGACTGAGCACTGAGTGCCACTTAATGCCTTTTCTCTCCGTAATATAAATACGACCGTACAGCTGGCTTGAAAATGAAGTCGTTGAATAGAAATATTTCTTCGCTGAACACAAACTGTGTTTTCTTATTACCTTTTACATATTACTGGCCGTCAAACACCGAGATATAATAATCGGTTGTTTACGCGAAGTTATTCATGCAAATTATTCTATCTGTTTCACTCTGTGAATAAAGCTTTCTCTTTGTAAGAAGACAAGAGACTTGGAAACCGACTTTTTTATTAGAGTAAAAAGCCATATTTATACATTTTTAACCGCATTAAAGGTAGGCTAGACCAGCGGACAACAAACTGTTCTGATTGGCTGTCGATTTGCTAAAGGTTAAACTTTGAGACGAAAAATTACCCAATGAGATTATTTCCTGACCACACAGCGTAAACTCTGCAGCCATTGGCTTAAAATGTTGTCCTCTATTTTGACTGCTTCGTATCAATCTGCGTCTATGTACCACTGATAAATCTTGTCAATAACAGTTTCACATAGCAGAAGCAATAACTCTGAGGTGAAAGAAGTGACCGGAATCAATGTTCTAATCTATTAAGGAGCGACTTCTTCAATGTTACTACCACTTAACTGTTATATTCAGCTAATCGCCGGAGATGTTGAGTTTTAGTTTTCCCGTCTGACCAGCTAATGTATTAATCCAGCTCCTATGTAATGGTGTTCCAATGTCATGGTGTAGGTCACTTAACCTGACGTTGTAGTCTATCGATCGTATAAATGTTCTTTTTGAATAAAAATATTTTAAATTACCATTCTACTCGTTATTAGTTTGAATGTTTGTTTTAAAGTCGGGGGTATCATTCTATCTATGGATTTTTTTTTACCTCCTTATTTCAGCATTTTACTGCTTAATCCTAGTTTCATTGAAACATTCCTGGCCGATCTGTCTTGTCGAATTTTCAATGCTGCTGAAAGTGATAGGTAAGTGGGGGGGGGGGTGAAGGAATTTTCTGCTTAAATGATAATCTTCATGTATTGATAACAAAAAGTGCATAAATCTACGCGCATTGAGAACGATTTCGTTCCTCATGCTTAACACTGCTCCTAGCTCTTCGAAAACCCCATTGAGAGATAGTTTACAACAACATTGATATACACACGACTCAGGCTAATAGTCAACGACCTCTTTGATTAATATGTCCTGTTTTGATGCGATGACACTTATAGCTCATTTTCAACTCAGTCTTATTTCAGCTAACCTTGCTCGTCGAAGTAGGCGGTGGCTTGGCATACGGTACACACAAATGTTCTGATTTATCTAAATATCTATAGAGGTTCATAATCTCATCAACTGACTCTCCTTCATTCCGCAGCACACTACATCCAATGTCTATATTACAGACATTTGAGATTAAACAGAACCAGCGATAGTTGAAAAACTGATTACGTTCCCATATCACCCATCTGCACTAGTCATACCTAACGAACACCATTGGTTTTTGTCATGTCAGATATGAGAGAGCTCTCCTAATGTTTGTATATGGCTGTCTGAGTCAAAGTAGAGTGTCTTGATAAGTGTTGTATATATTTTCTCAGAGTTCTCTTCGCAGCCAATCATTGCTGAAATACCTCTTGTTTGATAAAGTCAAATAATAACAATAACAGTAGCTTTATTCTGAACAATGTTTATATAATGTACCGAATTTTTTATAAAATTTGTTGCATACTATTTCCCTTCGTCCAGAATCTCCAAATAAAAGATTAATTACAGGATTTCATCATAAGCTGACATTAGTTAGAGAAGCATTGGAAAACAAACTGGGAGTACTGGACAGCTGTTTCGTCCTAGTTTTGGACTCTTCATCAGTACGCACCCACCGGGATTTGAACCCATGACCTTCTGGTTACAAGGCAAGCCAGCTCGTAGACCATTAAGCCACTGGGACCCGATCCAATGGCACATGAATTCTAACTTCTGCCAATTCACGACATAGCGCGACCCCTAGCCAATGTCTTCGGCGAGTATTTGTCCTCACACCCGACCTGCTGCACCCTACTGGTCACGACACTTGAAAAGATTAGTTGACAATGAATTGTGTGACACAGTTCTGTCTAACCTGATGCGCAAACCGACCCATTATGATAATTCAGGAGTATATTTTGTGAAGAAGGGACACCACTCAGGAATGGTCATCTGTTGTGTTGGGATAATGTGCCACCTAGCACAATGCTTCTTCTCTTGTTTAGCTGGAACTTGCGAATAAGCAGGTTGTAAATGTTTTAAATACTCGCCAGAGTAAAAGAAAAATACTGTTAGAGGTCATATTTTACTAGATTTGAATAAACTGAATAAGTGGAAACCATATGCGATATGATGATGGAGGTTTTCGGGAGCTCAAGTTTTAAGTGGGTTTGTCTGTGTTCTAGAAACTGTCGACAAATGAAGATATGGTTAATGCACCTTGTTTGCCCCTCCCCTCTACTTAGCCTTCGTAAAAATAAGTAAGCGGAGAATTGAATTACAATCCAAAGAGGAGAAGTGTTTCTTAACCCTTATAGAGAGATGAACACTTGACGTTAGATGGCTTGGTTCCGTTTCATTCTAAATGAATTAGTCAGGTGGAATGGAGGTTAATTAGCAAAAAGCCCCTTCCTGTAGTTGTTCTCGTCTTTGTTAATATTAGCCAATAAACTTTGTGACTGTAATCTCAAGACATTTGATACTTTCATCATATACTGGAGACAAAATTATTCCGTAGTGCCAGTAGGTAGATATGATGTACTGGATGGGATTGTAGTCGTCAGAATATTTGGGATATGTAGTAGTAGTAGTCGTAATAACTACATTCCTGTTCTATTCATTTTCAACTGTTGGTTTGCATGTATTTGCTTGATCATGAACTGACCTCAGTCAGAGGAACATTAAAAACCAGGGAGTACTGGGCAGTGGTTTTTGTCTCGGCCTGAGACTCCTCAGAAGCATACATGAGATTAGGAGGACAGTCCATTGACCATTCATCCCCTGAGATGGAATTCAAATCGCCCATGAATTCTAACTTTTGTCAATTTGCAATATTGTAGTGGAACAACAGCCAGCCATTATCCGTGGCGGTTATTTCTCTTTACAGTGCGTCGGTGGCACAGTGGTTAGGACTCTCGCCGAGCATGCACATGGTCCGGGGTTCGATCCCCTGCCGACGCACACCTGATATCTATGGTCGGCCTGCAAAATTTGGGCTACCGATATCACATGCTGAAAATTCCATACCTGTATCAAAAATACGATCTGGAATCAAGCTGTGATAAAAAAAAACTTGGTTTAACTCGCTGGTCACAACTTCTTAGTAGAACTTCAGGCTACTTCATCCTACAGCCAGTCGTTAGTGTGTTCGTTTTTGTAAACATTCTGATTGATTTGCAGTTTGTTCACGAGCTCAGGCTACTACTGGATTTTGTCGCAATGACTGAGAATGATCATTGACCTGTAAATCCTGATTCATGAGTGCGCACTGATGAGGAGTCCCAAACCAGGACGAAACCACTGTGCGCCCTGTACTTCCTTCAGGTTTCCAACCGTTCTCTAAGTGAAGCCAACTCGTGTGTGTATATATATCTATTGTTTTCTAAAATGTGCCAACTTTATGCTGATATTATTTCTACTATTTTTATATGCTGCAGCATTTGAGTTGAATTTGATGTTCTAACACACAGTTCACAAATTACACACACACACACACACACACACACAAGTTTTCATCTGACCATATGACAGATTTTTAATATATATATTTAACTATCGAATTTTAAAGTACAACATTTTTGTCAGTGTGTGTGAGTGTTTGTGTGCAGATTGATGTGTTTTGTTCAGTTGGTGGTGAACATATAGAATAGAACATAATATTTTTATGAAATCAAAATAATGTTCATTAAAATTATTAATTATTGTTCTATTGTTTGTTATTGCTGATGTGTTTGGCTACACTTATATTTTTATAATATCTTCCTGTTTCTGTATTGATTTTTTATGCAAATATTTCAAATTGTCTAAAATAGGCATAACTGATAAACAAATGTAAGTAGTATAATGAAAGAATGATCATCTAACGGGGTAGAGAATGCTGGCCAAAACACTACATCAACTTCATTGACCATAAAAGACCTTCGACAGCTTTGACCTTGGCTTGCCTCAAACCCTTTGTCAACCTCATTCAACAGTTATGAGATGGTGGTAACATGTCAGGTGATTCACAGCTCAGCGGAAAGCTCACCGTAGCCTTGGAAGTGAAGACAAGAGTTAAGGCAAGGCTGCCTACTATCACGGATGATATTTTTCTAACTGTGGTGAACTGGATCACATCGTATGTGGGGAGTGAGAAGACAGGCATACTTTGGACTGACGAGAAGACTCTAGAAAGTTTGAACTTTGCCGCCAATTTATGCCTAATGTCACAGAAAGCTAAATATCTGCAAGCGAAAGCCAACAAGTTGTCTGAAGGAGCAGGGAAGACAGAACTTCAAGTGAACATAGAGAAGATGAGGGGTGATAAAGATGCTTAACCAAGAACAGCAACAACAACAAGCACCATTCATTATCAACTAGAGAAATTTGAAGAAACTCACTGCGTCGGTGGCACAGTGGTTAGGACTGTCGCCGACCATGCACATGGTCCGGGGTTCGATCCGCTGCCGATGCACACCCGATATCTATGGTCGGCCTGCAAAATTTGGGCTACCGTTATCACATGCTGAAAATGCCATACTTGTACTGAAAATACGGTGTGGCATCAAGCTGTAAATCCAAATAAAAATAAAAATAAACAAATAATAATACTCTTTCATTCATTTGTGCAGCATCGTTTCAACTACAGGCGGCGCAAATGAGGATGTCGAAGCCCCAGTCACTATCGGAAAGACGACACAGACCTTCAGTAATCTGATGGTTGGCCAGTAAGGATTCACAACGAGGAACTTTGTCAGCAAACCAACCAAGAACCTATTGCCGAATAAATTTACCACAGGAAGAAATGCAGATGAACCGGAGACCATGCTGAAGAGACCATTGAGTGACATCACACACACAGGCGAAGCCTTTGATAAGAACCAGAATGGACTGACGTGGAGAAGATCGTGCAAGGAGGAGATGAAATAGAGGTCTGCCGCTGAAGCTCTATAATCCACCTAGGATTATTGAAGGGGTCATATTTTTCACCCTTTAGAAAATATTTTGCCTCTTTTTCCCGGAATCTGCTTTTGTGTTTAGTTTTAATGGTGACTAGACTAAAAGTGGTTGCCGTCAGAGTGTAATTCGTTGACATCATATTTGGGTGGGGACGGGTGTGTGTGGATGAAGTCATACTGTTGACATAAAATGTAGAAGTAACAGCATTGAGATGTTTCCTTCAAATGACCAGTAAGCCACCTATTTTGTCTCTACGTCCTGGGGAGACGGGAATGGTTAGAAAAGGTTGACTCCGAAAATTGTACACCTCGACCTACTCTGTGGCGGTTCGTAGCCGACAGTATGATCTCCATACTGTCGCAACCCTCAGAAACCACTTCAAACAGGTTGTGTGTGTGCGTCACCAATCTGAAGCAATTGTCCCTTCGCCCCGTGGTCACTCAACATCAGTACTCCTTCTGTTTCGCGTACCCCATGAAAAATCAGTCAGTCTCATAGGTTGGTGTTAATTAACGAAATCAGCTGTTATTCTGATTCCTTAGCCAAGTGTGTTTGTGTGTGTGCTTGCGCACTCGTTCCTGTCAGTCTTGGTTCTCAGTGTAAGTCATAACAGGTTTGGTTAAGTAAACCTGAAGAGTTGAGATCAAGGCAAGTGGGTTTTCCCTGTGTATTTCAGTCGTATATTTTGTATACAATTTCTCCGAATACTATAATATATATGCATATTTTCATGTTGTGTGTCTATCCTTAATTTCTATTTTTAGCCGACCTACCAGGTAAATTTCTTTTCTTGGTTCTTTCTTTTATTTTTGGCTACACTAAAGATCTCACTCAACACATTCACACACACACACTTACTCCTGCACTCATAATGTACAAGGTGTGCACACCTGTGCGTAATTGTTTGTACTATGCTTTTCTCACTCACTACGAAAAAAAACTTTTTCTTTTATGTGGTGGTGTAGTTTTTCCGGTTTGTTTACACATAAAAGTGCTAAACTAGTCACACAGGCACACACGCAGAGAGACTCTCCGTAGTGTTATTGATACTGGTGATGCAACAGTTATATGCGGTGTATAATTATTGAATAACTAACTGGCAGAGTCTACACTAATTTATTCATTTTTATGCATCACCTTTTTGTAATCTGCTTTGTACACTTATTCAAATATCTTGATTTCGAGTAATTACTACACCTAGTACTCCTACTCCTATTATTGCTGCTGCTGTTGCTTATGCTTGTCTAATTATTTAATACTGCACCCTTTACACAATCCTCTAGTGTGTGTGTGTACACTAAGCTTTATATTTTCGGTGTTCTATCGTATTATTTCAAATTAGAGCTTTGAGAATGTAGACTTTTGTGTGTGTGTGTGTGTGTGTGTGTGTGTGTGATTAATCTCTACTCGTGAGTAATATACTTTGCTCTTAGTCCAATCAAAAAACAAAATTGGTGATAAAATTTGTCTGTTTTATTTGTTGTTTTTCAAAGTATTTATGCTTCATGTGTTTTTGTATGCTGCAGGTGTTTGTGGTGAATCAGCATTTATCAGTAGATACTTTTTACCAAAATAGATAAGTGGATTTTCAATGGATTTAATTGATTTCTAGTTAGTTAGACGACGAAATACACGAGAGAGGGAGAGAGCCATAGCAAACTACGGAGTACTCAGCAACTGTTGTTCCATTCTTGTTTTTGGAACTTGTCTTCATTGATGGGCACCCCTCACACTTTCAATCGTACTGATTTACTTTGAGTCATATCATTGGGTTGGGTAACTGCTTTTTGTCTAACCGCTATCCAAACAATCTTTCTGGCATGGTAGGACCTCAAGCGACATAAGTCTCAGCCAGTATACCTTGTTGGGTAATTGTGGTGTTCAAGCCCGACCACCACGTCAAGGTAGCAGCTTTCGTTCGCCCTTGTAAAATGTAAGATGCTGCTACAGGAATGACTGGACTACGTCAACTCCTAGCTTAGTGATAGGAAGTGAAGTGATAGAACATGTTGACCACTTCACCTATTTGAGAAGTTGTATCAACACCAACGGACTGATTGGCGACGAAATCTCAGCACGGATCCAAAAAGCTCGGGCTGCTTTCTCTAACTTACACCGTCTCTGGCGTAGGCGTGACATCCGGCTATCAACCAAGGGACGTGTGTACTGCTCAGCAGCTCGCTCTGTCCTTCTCTATGGCGGTGAGACGTGGCCATTGAGAGCGGAAGACATGAAAAGATTGTCTGTTTTTGATCATAGATGTTTACGATCTCTTTCTCACGTTAGGTGGAATAATAAGGTAAGTAATGTTGACGTTAGGCGTAGAGTGTTGGACAAAGAGGGAAAATCAATCGAATGGGCTATAAAGTTACATAGATTGAGATGGCTAGGTCACGTGCTGCGCATGCCTAACCATCGCCTCCCCCGACAGTCATTACTAGCTGATATAGGTGCAGGTTGGAAAAGAGTAAGTGGTGGCCAAACAAAAACATGGCATCAATCAATCCATGAAATCCTTGACAGTTAAACTGAGTCAGGTAGAGAGATGCAGACTTCCGGGTTGGGGCCCTCGGGACTCTAAGAATCAATGGCTTGAGACAATAGGTGACATGGCTCAAAATCGTTGTCAATGGCGTAGATGTATTCAGTCTCTGTAATCTTTCATATTCCTTTCTACCATTACTCATTGTGTTTCACTCTTATACTTGTCAAAACTCTATTGATTCTCTTCATCACTCGTTTTCTTGTCTACCACCTTTGTGTGCTATTTGGAGCATGCAACTCGAACTGCTGCACTTCGGTGCCAAGTTCTATGTTGTATCCAGACAGACAGAGATAGAATCGTACTGAATACTACACGGGAAAAGAAGCCGGCAAGAGTAAAGAATAGATAGCAAAGTCAGTCGACCTTGAACCAACCAATCAGATTGCTCAACAATACAAATGATCGCTTTTTGTAACCCTGATTCAGGATTAGGGTAGGGTAGGGCTTCAGCGATGATTATGGTCAGCATCCATTTGAAATGCTGAGCAATGTAACTGCCATCATCATTAGGTGGTATTCATCATAAAGTCAAGCATTCATCAGAATTAGTGGATCCTAAAACTTACTGCTCATACAGATTCTTGTGTATTTATTATAGCCGCGCCTATGGGAAAATGAGACCTCATTTTGCAGCATATTAGGAATATATACCCTACATAATTCATTTTTAGTTATACATATGTCTATATTCAGTAGACGTACTTTTTTATGCTATAAATACCACTTTTTACCCAGAAGCATATGATTGGCCGGCTCAAGGTCGTTTGGCTGAGGTGTCTTTTCTTTACTGCTGCCAGGATTTCCAATTAGCGGCTATGAATTCACCAGTTGATGATACATATATATGTATATGTATATATACGGCGTCGTCTATCCCTTGGTAGGGTTATGGGGGTGTGTTCTGCGGAAAAGTACCGGATTGAGACGAAATGGCTGTCGAACCCCCCCTAGGTTTCTTGAATTAGCTCTCTACCTGTGATATCAGTTCATGATCTAACCTGAAATTTCCCCAGTTGAACAGAGGGTTTTCAAGCTAGAGCTTTGAAGTTTCTGTTGTAGTGGTGTTTCGTTTTACGGGGATGGGGTTGTTGCTTACCTCATACCCAACCTCCTCTCTTTACTGGTAGTATAACCGGCTTAGAGACGTTTAGGAATGCGTCAGCTGGGCACCGAACCCAAACCCGGACCATGTGAAGCGTGGCTGGTGAGCATTTGCCGCTGGACCACTGACTCACTAATTAGAAATAATCGATTATTAATATTCTATAGTTTGGTTTGTAAGGGTTAGTTTTGTCTTTACGAGTTGATCACGGATTGATATCAGTTAGAGCAGTTTCCTGGAGTTCTAGTGAGAAGTCGTGACCAATGAGTTCCATCCAGATGTCATGTGTGAGGATGGATGTCCCGCGAAATCACGAATTGGTAGAAGTTAGAATTCATGAGCCATTGAATCGGGTATACGAGGTTGCCTTGTAACTGGAAGGTCCTGGGTTCGAACCCCATGGTGTGGGTGCGTACTGCCGATGATTCCCAAAAACTAGGATGAAACAGCTGTCCAGTACTCCCTGGTTTTCACTGGTTCTCTAACTAATATCAATCCGTGATCAACTGGTAAAATATTATTATTAGTCATCGCATGTTCACCTTTTGACGATTAATTTTAAATGAAGATGGGCTATGACGGTATGAAACGTGATGCTAGACTATTGAAACCAAATGATTATCACTGAACTGGAATTGTAACAACTTCAGTATTATTATTATTATAATTACTACTAGTAGTAATAGTCAGTCTGTAGTACCTTTCATGCTAACCTCATAGTCGAATTTCTCTCTTTTCCGGACTTACTATCGGTAGGATGAGGTTAACCAGGGTGTCGTCAACTGGGAACCAAACTCAAACTTCCCGCATGGCTGACCAGCATTCTGCTATTGTACAAGTATTGTGATCGAACATAATTCGATATTAGATAATTCGTTATGATACGACGCAAAGATACAGTATCAGTAGACGGAAAGAGAGAGAATAATTACTAAATTCCTTGTTCCTCGAGTCAATACCAAAGACGTGTTATAGAAATGACGCAATACTTGTCTAGAATATATAAAATATGGTTTTAAAAATGTAGGTGGGAATTAAGAAAACACACACACACACACTGATATAATTATAGACACTAAAATGTGTCGGAAACGTTATCCAGTTAAATAACACGTTGTATCTTATATAGAAGTCGTAATTCTATAATATATATTTGATTGTGCAATTAATCTGAACTGAATCCATCAATAAGGCACTCTGAAATCTCTTAATAGCCAGGAATAAAACATTCTTAACATCCTGAGGCCACCAACCAAGGCAATTTACACCTGCCTATGTGACATGTGCAACAGGCGTCCTAGCTGTGTCAACTGATGTGACTTTGCAGCCTAGTAGATTGACTTCCTCTCCCTACTTAGCACTCTACACGTGATCTCAAATACTGCTTAACATGGGAGGTAGGACGCAAACATCTGTTCTTGAAGATAACTAATCTCTTCGATACCTCCACTTTCAGCTACCGTGTCTCACAGTCATAAAGGGGAATAGAGCAAACTACTTCTCAGTACATATGTCCTTTGATCGATAGCCTCCATAATCTGGGCATCCAGGTCTGTCTATCTCTGTCTGGATTCAACATAGAACTTGGCACAGAAGTGCAGCAGTTCCAGTTGCCACGTTCCAAATAGCACACAAAGATAGACAAGAAGATGAGTGAAGAGAATCAATAGAATTTTGATAAGTATAAGAGTGAAACAGAATGAGTAATGGTAGAAAGGAGTATGAAGGTTAAAGAGACTGAATACATCTGCATAAGCCATTGACAACGATTTTGAGCCATGTCACTTTTGTCTCCAGCCATTGATTCTTAGAGACCCGAGAGCCCCAACCCGGAAGTCTGCATCTCCCTACCTGACTCAATTTAACTGTCAGGGATTTCATGGATTGATGAGGTCATGTTTTTGTTTGGCCACCACTTACTCTTTTCCAACCTGCACCTATATCAGCTAGTAATGCCCGTCCGTCGGGGGAGGAGCTGGTTAGGCATGCGCAGCACGTGACCTAGCCATCTCAATCTATGTAACTTTATAGCCTCTTCGATTGATTTTCCCTCTTTGCCCAACACTCTACGCCTAACGTCAACATTACTTACCTTATTATACCACCACCTAACGCGAGAAAGAGATCGT